AAATAAGAGATTAATATGATACTGTACATAAATCGACTAGTACGAAAGTCATTGATTCTTTTATAATTTAAAGCTTTGTTTTTCTTTTTTTCAAGAAAGAATTATTAATGAAATTTTTAGTGAAAGTAAAATGAGTAATTCACATGACTTGTTTCTTTTATGGAATCAGTTGTATGTTTAATTAAAACAAGATTTGAGAAAACATTTTTTGAGACTTTTCATTATTCAACCTACACACATCTTTATAATTCAAAATTGTAGATGAAATCAGTATTTTTAACATGGATAAAGACATTGTTTACATTAGATGCATTCATGTTTCTGACTTGAGATGATTTAATTAGATACAATCTTCATATATTTGAGTAATAATAACTTGAGAGATGTTAAATCATATCATTGATAATATCTAGTTTTCTTCATCTCAAAAGTTATATTTCCAGATAATTTTGTCGATTATCTTCATGATATTCTTACTGAATTTGATTATAATCAAAATTGTTGTAAGATGACTTTTTCAAGTAACAATACTAGTGAAAAGAAGTTTTTAGATTGATTGACACCATAACATGAATGATCAGACCTAGTTTCATAAGATATTCATATGGATCGATCCAGGTTAAGAAAAATCATGTAAAACTATTCAATCGAATATCTCGTTTTAAACTGTTATCAATCTTTTGTTCATTCAAATAAGATTAATTAAAAAAGACTATTTAAAGTAAAATTTCTTTCGTTGAACTTCACCTTCTATAGGGATTTTAACATTATTTACTGCCATTATCGTTTAAGAATATTAAATTACTACTGTATTGAAGGTAATTGAGCTGATGATGTCAATTGTCGATATTAAATTTTGCAAGATATGTGAATCATTCAAAAATGAAACTTAAAAGAAAACATCTGTCGACTTAAGTGAGTTTGAGAAATACATTTATACCAATGCTTTATATAACCAGCAGTTACCCTGTTTTCTTTCAACTAGATTCATGACGTTATCAAATTAACTTTAATGTCCATATCAGTTACTAGATTGATACTTGAATCAATTTTCTTCTTCATTGGGCATATTTCTCGAGTTTTTCTTGCAATGATGGTTCATTTTTAGTAAGCTATTATCAACACACTAACAAAAACATCTAATTATTATAATACTTAGGTCAAGAAATATGAGCCGATCTTTGCATGAAGACATTCGAAATCAATGGAACTTAGAGACAGTGTTCCTGGCGAGAAGAAAGTCTCCAAATTTTTACACTGACTTTCGTGTAACTTCTTGTTCTTTCCAATGAGAAACGTCCCGAAACTTTTTGACCAGGAATACTGCATCCAAGCTCCATCGATGTTCTCCTGTTGGATGGATGATTTTTCTGCATCTTTCCGATCGATTTCAGTGAAACAGACTTCTTTTCAAAGCCTAGAATCATTGACACGGATAGATATGATTAAATGCGCTTCGTTAAAAGAGAAATATCACAGGTAATAATATTGAAGAACTCAGAAATAGAAATTTCTCACTTGTTGAATAATTATTATAGACATTAAGGTAATTTGTTGAAGAATCGAAGATTAACCAAAGCTTCTCCCAGAGTTCCATAATTTCTAATAGCTTGATTAATGTATTGTCCAAAATAATTTTTGCAATCATAAATTCATTTTTACACAGGACTCCTCTGATCTTGATGTGAATCCGACATATATGTTGAATAATGCACTTTTTTGAATTTGGAATCAAGGAACTATGAGGAAATCGAAGCGAAACTCCTTTTTTTTTGATACACGTTTTATTCTTCGATTATAGCTGCTTGAGTTTGTACACGATCGAAAAATCGGTTAATCCATATGAATGATAGAATAACTGATTCAAAATAAAAATCTTCATCGACCATCTCTATAAAAAGCCTGTTAAAGACAATGAAAATTTTCACATTTCTCCCTACCACAGGATCAAGAATTTTACGCAACAAAATTGAAACCTTCTTTTAGTTTATAGAGTGTTAAAAGTTTTTCCAGTTAAAGTGAGAAACAATTTTCATTTTTTCAATGTTTTAAAACACTTCACTTAACTACAGACAATCTTGTATATTTGATGATACTTCGCTTTTCAGCCTAAAAATATTCAAATGGTTCTTTTAGGATGGCTTAGCACTGGTAGCATGAATAATGCACGATATCAACACACAGCATCTGTATTAACAAATGGAAACGTGTTAGTTACTGGTGGGTCGGGTAATAGTGGTCTTCTAAATAGTACTGAGTTGTATGATCCATCAACAGGAACTTGGACAATGACTGGTAGTATGAATAATCAACGATATTGGCACACAGCATCTGTATTAACAAATGGAAAAGTGTTAGTTACTGGTGGATGGGAGAGTAGTGGTGGTTCCGTAAATAGTACCGAGTTATATGATCCATCAACAGGAACTTGGACAATGACTGGTAGTATGAATAATGGACGATATGGGCACACAGCATCTGTATTAACAAATGGAAAAGTGTTAGTTACTGGTGGATGGAGGAGTAGTGGTGATCCCATAAATAGTACTGAATTGTATGATCCATCAACAGGAACTTGGACAATGACTGGCAGTATGAATAATCAACGATATTGGCACACAGCATCTGTATTAACAAATGGAAAAGTGTTAGTTACTGGTGGATGGAGGAGTAGTGGTGATCCCATAAATAGTACTGAGTTGTATGATCCATCAATAGGAACTTGGACAATGACTGGTAGTATGAATAATGCACGATATCTACACACAGCATCTGTATTAACAAATGGAAAAGTGTTAGTTACTGGTGGATCGGGGAGTAGTGGTGATTCCATAAATAGTACTGAGTTGTATGATCCATCAACAGGAACTTGGACAATGACTGGTAGTATGAATAATGAACGGTATGCGCACACAGCATCTGTATTAACAAATGGAAACGTGTTAGTTACTGGTGGATGGAGGCGTAGTGGTAGTTCCGTAAATAGTACTGAGTTATATGATCCATCAACAGTAACTTGGACAATGACTGGTAGTATGAATAATGCACGATATCAACACACAGCATCTGTATTAACAAATGGAAACGTGTTAGTTACTGGTGGATTAAATGGCATTGCTTTGAATAATTCAGAATTATATTAATCATCTTAAACGAATGAAAAATCAATAATCTTATGCTTATAGGTATATGCGATCTTGTATTTAACCACTAATTTTCTAAAGAGAGCTATTGAATTTAAATGACAATGAATGATTTTCTTCGATATTTTTATTTGATTGTCATACACTTGAGAATTCGATTTAAAATCTCAAAATATTTTTCATTTTACATTTCGATATATAAAGCTTATTGTGATAAAGAAGTCACAGTTTATATAATGATTTAAATCTTTTGAAAGTGTTTCATTATTTTTCCAATTTTGTCTTTGTTCAAAAGTTTGATTTCCTTTATATCAGTAATAAATATCCTCTCAATACTTCGAATTACATTGGCAGATTGAAATTTTACTTGGCTCATGTAAATTTTCAAAGATTCTCTATTCCTATTGAACCAAGATTGCAGTTTTTGGTTCCTAATGTGTGGAATAGCAGGCAATGTTTCAACATTCGAATAAGTGAATTTTTATTCAATACATTTCTTATTATATTCTCGGTAAAGTGCAACTATTTGAAGAGCAATTGTGATAAATAAGTGCATTAGCTAAAAGCAGAATTTTTCGGTTATCTATTTTATTTTATTTTTGCTTTAAATGAGCTAATGTTATATATTTGGGGCAAGTATTTGAGGCAGAATTTGTACAATTGCATGAATCATCCCAATCAAGTGAGCAATAACTGTGCTAAGAGTTAAGCTAATAGGTGAGTGTCTTTGGCAAAGATGGGACAGACATTATAAACACAATTTTTAAAACTTGTTTCCATAGAGAATACATTTAGTTGTCACCAAACACCTATTTTAATGTAGGAAGCAATATGGATGCTGATACACTTGTTATAAACGCATCGTCTAATTATTTACAGGTTTGACTAACAATTGCAACTCTTGATTCAATGACTGAATTAAGTTACATAGAAGTTTCTTTTGTATAAACTAGTATAGATAGAAACATGTGTATTGGGAATGAGATTAACTACAGATACAAACTATTCATTTGCAATTATCGATCCGTTTTGCAAATAATTTCAAATAATAATTTTCGTCAGGAAAGACATTTTCTAGATGATATTATGTCAAACAAATTGATTTTAATTGAATTAATCAACTGATTATGGTGTTGTAGAATCAAATATAAGTGTTGTAGCTAGATAAAATATTAATAGAAAAAGATTAATTACAATGAGAAAAGTCAGGTTAATCAAACGACAAAGAATGATGAAATATGAAAATTTATACAAGTAATATTGTTCATTGATTGAAATATTGAAGATCTTAAAATAAGAAAGATATCATCTTCAAATATATTTATCATACGTTGTTTTTCTCCATACATGTACATATCTTGATGACTACAAAAAAACGTCCATATGATTTGATTTTGATAGTATGACGTCTATTCATACATAGATTGTTAATATTATTATGTTTGATAGTTTTAGTCAATTTTTTGAATTTCATTAAAAACTTGAATGTTTATTGTTTCGCTATGTTTACATAAAGTATGTATAAATTCTGATATCATTGATGAATTATGAGTTTTTTCAATGGATAACAATAAATGATTCAAATATACATATGATACTTTTAATGAATTTTCAGAATCTTGTTCCAGTTTCTGCTTATGCAGATGTAGGAGGTAATTGCGAAATGCGATGTAATCTCAACAGAAGAATTAAATCATGTAGTCTGAGCATACAACTAGTACTATACTATTCTATTCGCTAAAATGCACCATTAAGCTATCAACAGAACTAAACCCTAATTGGTCCATAAACGATCGCAAATATATTGTATTTTTTCTCTAAACGAGTGTTTTATGCTCTTCTGACGCTTGTGTCTATCTATGGTGCTTTGTATCAATTGTGGAAGTTCTTGAAAGACGAACGAAATATCAGACATTATTGAGATCTAGAAAAGCAATAAATTTTAGTCCTCACCAGACATAAGCGATATGAGAATTAGAACTGAGAAAACTCTCTGGGAGCACCAAAATTTAATAAGAAAACTATTGGTGTTAAAAAAATTAAAGAAACTAAAGGAGATACAAGAAGTAAAAGAAATAAAGGAATTAAAGAAGTTAAAAGAGATTATAACTTTAGAATACCAAAATAAATCCAAATAACTTTAGTTTCTTTTGAACTTTTCTCGTATGCATTGTAAATGAACAATGTATCGAGTTTCGTGTGAAAGTATTTCGAAAGATCTCTAGCAAGGTCAAAACCATCGTAATGCTTGCTTCTAATTTCTGCATTGCAAACCCACTCCCTCACCTTCAAGTACACAACAATAGAGCGTCTATATCATAATAGAATGTACACGAACTGACGACTTTCCTCTCCTTCACTCCGAATATGAAAATTTGATTTTTTCTGACGATTCTGCTACTTGAAAGACTTTCTATTGGAGGTCAAATACCAAACATACTTTATTTTTATTGAAATCAAAATGTAGTAAAAGTTATCATACACTTTTCTCTCTTTCTCTCTCTCTCTCTCTCTCATACAATCACAGTCGATAGATACGACAAGCATTATCATGAAATACACATTCAATTTCTTGTTTACTTAATCCTACTTCCTTGGCCACTTGCAAATTGGCTTCAACAAGTTGTCTGAACGTTGCATGAAGTTTATCAACAGGAAAATTTGATGCAAAAAGACATCGATCGACGCCAAATACATTCAATGTGTATTCCAAAAAGGGTCGAAGAGATTCGACTGTCCAATTATGTTGAAACATGACAAGACCACTTAGTTTACATAATACATTAGCCTGTTGAGCCAAAGCAGACATGCCTTCTTTCCATTGATTTATTGAGACCATATTATCATAGGGCATACCTAAATTCAAAGTAAGTCAAATAGGTTCAATATTTTTATGATAATTTTCTGGATGCTCATGCATTAAAGACAAATATTTATGTCAAAGATTGGTAGAAGATTTAGGAGAGATTTTCTTATGATCTACATATGTCTCGTTTGTATCTCATGGCAGAAAATGGTCAAACTATTGAAACAACGATGATCTGAAACTGTACTTTTCAGCAGAGATTTGCAGTTTACAGAAAAAATTCAACAAAAGGCGATCCAGTTCGGAGCAGAACTAAGAGAGGAAAGAGATGGATAAAGATGGATATGGGACGCGAAGAGCAGGTACTTTTTTACAAGATAATGGTGAAATGTAACCAATACTCAGTAGATGGGAATCTCTTTCATTGTTGCCGTTTCTTTTCTAGTGCTGAGATCGTTCTAGTGAAACAAAGAATAACTTTAATATCTGTTTGATATCAATCTTCGTTAATGTACTATTGATTTTGTTCTGTATACCAAATGATTGAGACACACCCATTATTGACCGAGGAATAGATTGATATGCCGAAAAGTATATATCATATTCCTGTGTTATTGCCTCTTGTCGAGTATTTTTCAGTCTAACCCCTGCTACGATCAAAATGATATATCACAAGAATATACCTCTATGATAGAGACAAAGGTTTTACGAAGCTCAATGGGAATGAGAATGTATACTTCGCGGAGCCAAAACTATCATATTATCCCAGTTTTCATATAATAATCTTTCCTAATAACTAATCTAACACACTGTT